TCCCTGTCAATCATTCTTATAAACTATGTCCTTTGCACCCAGCAGTCTGCATACAAAGAAGAATAGAAATTAAACAATGCTACTATCTCCCCTCTCGATTCCAAATGTTTGCCCTGTCCGAGTTGCATTATGATATAATTTGCTAAATCTTTAATGAAAGGAAATGCAATATCTCATGAAAATGGATAATAAAAGTTATAGGTAACTGTCAATAGAGCAGGGGTGCCCAAAAGGTAGATCCACAGTTGTAGAACTACAAGTTCTATGATGCTTTGCATGCCTTTAGAAGGGCATAGCATCATGGAAATATTAGTTCTAAGACATCGGGGGGATCTACCTTTTGGGCACCTCCGCAATAGTGTTAATACTGGAAAAGTGACAGTTCCCCTTTAAATAGGATTTGTTTGCTCATAGCTGCAAATTGAGGACTTGTAAATGTTGTAGTTCCATCTGCGTATCAATGCTAAATATTGTTGATCTGCCTCTATGATGGCAGTACCATACTGTGACGTAACATTGCTCTCCAAAATGATATCTCAGTTGCACGTCTTATTAAATATCATACACTGCATACTTGCATACTCCTGGTGTGTACATATTACTACATATTTTTAGAAAACACCTATTATATACTATAAACATATTCAGTGGTGATTAGAAAAAAGTTACAAAAAACAAATCTCTTTCCATAGGCACATTCTAGTAAATACACATAAACACATACTATATTACACACTGAATATATGTGCATGCGTACTGTGTATTTTATTTATACAACTTTAATATGTATGGAATGCTTAGTGTGGCAGTTTTTTTTTTTACATTTTCTATGTTAGAACTTGTCTTTACAAACCATCCCAAACTATGTGCCTTTGGGAAACACATCGAACTTCTTCATGTTACACAGAAACCAGGGACACACGCTGTTCACCAGCTCCCAAAGACATGTACCTATCACACGGAATCCATAATATAAAGGGTCTGGGACAGGTACCAGCACCATATCTGTGCAGGGCTCTCATCACTTGTTCCTGCATTTCATATTGGTTATATTACAATCACAGTACTTGTATGTTTTGTTTACCCATTGTATAGTGGTACACAGTATTTTGGAGCCATATAAATAATAATAGTGTAGCAATTATTTATAATATAGAAAAGCAGTTCACCAGTTACATCCACCCCCAAAGCAGGAAAAAGAATAAAACAATAATAATAGTAAAAAATAAAAAAGTACAACTGTTTATGAATCCTCAGCTTGCTGGCTGAAGGAAGTCCACCTCTTACAGCAGCAAATAACGACCATCTCAAATCTGTCTTTTCATATTTATTTGCAACTTGTGTTTGGAGCCCCATGTTGTATTGTGCAATAAAGAATTAGTAAGTATTTTTAAGCTATACCAGTCACTCCTTATGATATACTGTCACATGTATTGGTCACGTCTACTGATACACATACACAGGGACATGTATCAAACGAAGGAACATGTACCAACTACTCCTTTTGATATATAGACACGGGCATATAGTGATCCTTCTTCACAATCAGACATGGACATGTGCTGATCAGTCATACTGACATACAGATAGAGGGACATGTACCATTCACTCTTCCTAATATACAGCTTTAAGGATAGGTACCGGTCACTCATTTTGATACACAGGAACACGTGCTGGTCATTTCTCCTGATATACAAACATGGATACATTTACTATTCATTCTTTTTGGGACACAGGTAATTTCTTCAACTATGCGTAGATTGGTATATTACCACCCTTTCCTCCCATACAGATATGGATGCACACAGAAAGCACGGCTCTATGTACACATACATCATGACATTTACCAGTCACTCAGAATAAACAGATCATGGATAATGTACCAGTTCTAACTAATATTGAGATAACATTAACATGTTGAAGGACATCAGGACATGCGCTGCTCATAATATACAACAATCAAGTAATCTGCACTTGGAATATGTATATACATTCATTATTTGCAGATGATTTAAATTTGTAGCCTGGCTGTATCCCAAACCACCAATGGCGATGACTGCATCAGCAGCTTAGCCCTATGATTTATGCTTTTTTCCTTTATCACAGTAAAAAAATATAGAGTTCAAACTCTATTGACTGAATTGGAGTGCTACTGAAGGAAACAAAATCCTATACCTTACGTAAGGGAATAAGCACACACTCATTACACACCATGGATCTTTACTCAATTAAAACACTTATTTCTTATAATAGAAATATTCTGATTAGGCACATGCTATGACAATATAATGTTTAACCCACCATCAATTTAGTAGATTTGGACGTTTTATGTTTAATCTGAGAAAGTGAGTTTAATTTTATTGATGTGACATGGGTTTATAGATTGTAAAAGAAACATACAAAATTTATGATTTTAAAACTGTCTTTTTTACCCGCTTACCTCCCAGTCCCGTGTATACATAAAAATATTAAACAAAATAATTAGCATGTCTTTCGATAACAAAACAAATGTGTTTCTTTTGCCCCGAATGCTGGTGGCTTTTCTTTTGTGTCTCCATGAGTGAGATACGAGAAGTGTGACAGGTACAGGAAATTTTATTGTGAATGTGTTTTAAAGCTGCTTCTGGGACAGTGTGTGAGGGGCTGCATGGGGTGTAAAAATGTGTTTGTAAATAGTTGTGCTTGTTTTGTGTCTGTGGTGGAATATGTGTATCTAAGGGCTCTAGAGAAAGAGTATTTGTAAAGGAGTTATAGTGTGTATCTATTGGCGATCCCATGTGTTTGTTTAGGAAGTTGTGTGTTTTTGTTGGTCATACAGTGTGTGTGTGTGTGCATGTGTGATGCAGTATGAGATGGGGGAAGAATCGTGTGTGCTGGTGATGCAGTGTGTTTATGTGTGTGTGCACTGGGAATGCAGTATGTATGTGTAGGGGATGTAGTGTGTGGGAGATGTTCAAGGTGACTGTCAGTAGTGGGTGCTTGAAAAAGCACTTTGTTGCACACTATAATAAACGTATAACTCTTCGGCTGAATTCCCAAGTCTAGCTGATGGCTAAGAAGAGATTTAATTGCAAAACAACTGGCCTTCTGTTGCTGGTCTTCTCCTGACTAACCCAGTTCTGACAATCATCACAGCCCTAACCAACACTCCTCACCTGTATCAAAATCCCCTCTGGACATTGCTGGTCAGGCCTGAGATTAAGATTTACAGCCCCGAAGAGGCCACCGAAGTCTGATGAAATTTGGGAATGTCATTCTGTGGACAATATTGACACTTACAGGTAGCTGATGCATATCCTGGATTTTGTCTACTCAATGGTAACTGGACACAGTCATGTGGCAGACTGTCCTAATCCAAGGAACCTTATGTAAAGGCCTCCACAGACACCAGTAATCTCGGGCATTTTGGATAGATGTGCCAATATTGCGGGATCTGGAACCTTAATTGGTCTGGTGTTTTTTAGATTTCTACCACATTGAAGGTGGGGTATAAAATACAGCAGATATGTAGGTGGACTAAGACATGCAGGTTTTCGCACAACTAAGCGATGCTGAATGGAGCTCCAGAAACATGGGTCCAACTTGTTTGGGCACTTGCTCCACTCCCCCATGTTTGTCATTTTAATGCTAAGTTTTAAATTCTCTTTGAATTCACACAGAATTCTCACTTTAGTGAATAACCCTGTTAGCTTCTCTTAATTGTTTTTGTTCTAACTAGAAAACATTTTTTCTTTCCTCAAGCCTTAGCAGTTGACCTGTTGCCCTTTGTGTCCTCCTTTTCATTTGTACAATGTTACAATGTCACCTTTAAGACATATTTGCTCTAGTGTAAACAAATACAATGTTTCTAACCTTTTATTGTAACAATATGTTCTGTTCTCCCAATTAATTTATTTATCAATTAAATGTAGCCCAAATCTGTAAATTTTTCCAGTTTCTTAATGTTCTTTTTGAGACTGCATCGTTGATCCATAAAGTGGTGATGCAGAACCCTTCCAGCTGTTTCTTTCCGCATTGCAGTATGCTTTGACGAATCCAATCCGCACGTGTAGTGTGTGAGCGCACACATACACACATACTCAGTGCATACAGAAAATAGATTTTTTTTTACTTTGTGTAGCAGCCTAATGCAACAATGGTTACAATTAATTGTTCACATCAATCTACACTCAATACCCTGTAATGACAAGTCAAAAAACAAGTTTCTGAAAACTTTGCAAAGTTTAATAAGAAAAATCTTAAACTTCAC